TTTGCTGATAATAATTAATAACTAGCTAATAATTAATAATAAAATAGCAGCCAATCCTAAATCACAATGGATGTAGCCATTTGGCTGGTCTCTGCAGCTTACCAGCTGTTGGTTACAATGGCAGACCCAGGCTGCACTACCCCCTGGGCTGGAAGCCTGGGCCTCCAAATGGGACATTAAGTCAGGCCGGTGGGCCCTGCAGCCCTGCAAAACTCCCCTCACCCATCCAGACAAATCCTTTCTTTGTACCTGGAGAGACTATGGGTCTTGATATTATCTGGGGACCACCCAGGCAGCTTTGTGGGTTCCCACATGGTTTCTCCCCTCCTGGAAACAAGAACAACACTTTCCTAGTGGCTTCCCCAGGAAAGTTCATGTTTTCTCTGGTAATGAGTGAAGGATGGGGTGGGGAGGAGGCTGGAGATGGGAGGGATGAAAGTTCCTGTTTGGAGGTGGGGACCAACAATCTTTAAGATGCCAGGTGAGACAGCCCTTTCTTTCCTCTATTCCTGCATGTACTATTGAGGGTTTGTATAGGGAGGAATTTCTGCTGGTTTTCCCTAGAATTTTCTAAACCTTTTGATATGTTGACTTAAGTGGGCTCCAACCAGTAGGCTCCTTGTGTATTGATCATAACAACAGCTTATCCGAATTATGCAATTACTAAGTTCCAGGCACTGTTCTGGGCATTTTACATTGATGTGGACTCTCTCCTTGGCCAAACTTTAGTTAGACTCCTCTGAGCCCTCTTCTTCTTTTTCTTTTTTTTTTTTGGTAGAGACAGGGTTTCGCTCTTACTCAGGCTGTCAGGCTGGTCTCAAACTCCTGAGCTCAAGCGATCCTCCCGCCTGGGCCTCCCAGAGTGCTAGGATTACAGGCGTGAGCCACCACACCCGGCTTGGACCCTCTCCTTGACCAAACTTTAGTTAGACTGCTCTGAGCCCTCTTCTTCTTCTTCTTCTTCTTCTTCTTCTTTTTTTTTTTGGTAGAGACAAGGGTCTGACTGTGTTGCCCAGGCTGGTATCGAACTCCTGGGCAAAAGCGATCCTACCCCCTCGGCCTCCCAAAGTGTTGGAATCACAGGCATGAGCCACTGTGTCCCACCCCGCCCCCAGCTCTCTTCTTAGTAGGTCTCGACCTTGACCTTCTGCATCCTCCTGTCCTTGCTGGGCTGCACAACCCAGTTTTAGCAAGAATCCTGCTAATTTAACAAGAATTCCCCCGGCCCTTGATGTCTCCTCTTAGTAATTTTCCATCCACCGACTCCCTCACTCTGCTCTTTGGCTATAAATCCCCACTTGTCCTTGTTGTATAGGGAGCTGAGCCCAATCCCTCTCTCCTGTGGCAAGACCCCTTTTGTGACAGTTTTGAGTAGTCTTCCTTGCCTTGCGGCTTTAACGAGTGTCAGAATAGTTTTTCTTTAACAGTTTGCCAATAGTTAACTCCTTTATCCTCACAAGGATCCCATGTGGTATTGTGAATAACCCGCCTACACCGGGAGGGAGAGAGGAGAGAGGAGAGAGCGCCCCCCTGGGATGAGACACCAGCTGCTGCCACAGCGGCAGTTTGCACCTGGACGGCCCCCCAGGCCCGCCTGGCTGTAGGTGGGCCCATCAGCCCGCCTTGTGGGATATTTTAGCCAGGCAGGATGTTGCGCCCTGTGCGACACAAATCCCGAACTTGCGAACTTATGCCAGCCTCCCCCACGTCCCGTCCGGGCGGTGGCGGGAACGGGGCGCCAGGAGGAAGGCGCGAGCTGACGACGCCGTCTCCTAGCGACGGCGCGGCGGTCACGTGACCCTCCGGCCCGGCTCACGTGGTCCAGAGCGGAGCCGGGGTTGGGGCTGGAGCAGCGGGCGGGGCGGGGCCGGCAAGTTTGTCCCTCGAGTTCGGAGCCCAGGAACCCCCGCGGCTGCCGCGCAGGTGCCTTCCGCCTGGTCGCGATGGAGCTGCCCGCGGTGAACCTGAAGGTGGCGGCGGGCGGGGCGGGTCTCCTGCGGTGGGGGGCGTGGGGCACTTGCTTTTTAAGGAAGGTGGGAGGACCGCGAGTTTGGGGCGAACTACCCGCATTTGGGGTGGCAGAGAGAGAGAGAGGGTATGCGCAGACCCTCGGTGAGCAGGTGAGCGGACAGGCCGCTGCAGGGAGGGATCCAGGAAAAGGCCAGCAGGGACGACCGTGAGGGGCAGCTGGAGGTGTCAGGTGGGGAACGGGCCGCCCCTTCCTGGAGCCAGACCCTCCGGCGGGGAGCGGGGTCCCAGCCTTGCTCTGGCCTGCACGCCCGGAGTTCCCCTGGAGGGGGACGACGGCGCGGGGAAGTGGCACCCGAAGCCCAGGGAGGCGCTTGGCGGCGGACCCCTCTCCTACGGGGACAGAGGAGCTAGACCTTTCCCCGGGGTCCCCGTACTGTCCTGGGAGCCGCTTTTGTTTGCTACATCAGGTTGAGAAAAGTAGATGTTACCAAACAATTGGTTTCCCAAAGTTTATAAATTTAACGTCCTTATTTCACAATTGAGAAGCACGAACTCCAATAGAAATTACCTAAAAACAGAAAACCCCAACTTTGTACACTTGGGAAAACGCTGCAGGGCTTCCTGGAGTGTCTTCATTTCCTGAGCCGCGCACAACTCGCCGGGGTGCCAGCGCTGTTCTTTTCTCCGTGCCCAACCCCAGTCGCCCTGTGTCGTGGCTCGTGACTCGTAGCTCGGTTTGCAACAGAGGGGCTGGGGACTTTAGCTTTTGGTCAGGAAGGTGTGGACTTTGGATGAGACCGGCCATTTTGGGTTTTGGTGCAGGCTCCTTTGAGACTATATCCAGGAATGCGCTCTTACTCCTGAGTGACAAAGCATTTATTACCCCGTTGGTGTCTGGGACGAAAGGAATCTAAAAGATGGCTACAAAGTAACAGCATAAGCCTTGTTTGGATTGTTATACACAGTCTGTGCTATGACTTGCACTGGGCAGTTTTCCCTTCTTAGTCGTACTTGCTTCAGCAAACCTGCCTGAAGCTGCCAGTCAACAGCTGGGGGACAGATGGCTGGAGCCAGAGAATGGACTTGGGTGGAAGGGTGAGCTGGAAAGAAATTTACATGAGGGCAGCTGGGGTTGGTTGGTATCAATACTCACTCTGTGCCAGGCAACGTGGGGTTAACACCAACTGCCTTTTCTCTGATTCGAGATTTGCCTAAAATAATTGCTAAGAAAGGATCAGGTGAGGGGTAGAGCTGCAGGAGTTGGAAGAGAAGAGAGCCCTCATTTATGTGGCATCTGTGGTGTGCCAGGTTATTTAATCACAGCAACCTTCTGAGAAAGCTGATATTGTCATATTTTTACAGATGAGCAAACTTCAGCTCAGCTCGGGTAAGTTGCCAAGTTCCCACAGGGAGTAAGTGGCAGAGTCAGGATTTGAACCCACAGGGATCAGACTCCAGTGCCCTGTTCTTTCCAGGTACCATATTAGTTAAGGCCAACTCTGGCCTTGACCATTCTGCCCCTTGGGAGGGTTTAGTCTGTTAGGGCTTTTTAGAGCAACTTTATGGGCCTGACAGGCCAAGAGCGTCCATGGGTGTGAGCTGTGCTGGTTTTGTGTGCTCAGGATGAAAAGGCCGGTCCTTCCCTTGACATGGGAAGCAGGACCTCATGTCTCCAAGGGTCTTAGCCACTACCAATCAGAGACAAGTAAGGGCGGGGAGGCCCTGAGGTGCTAGGGTTGTCAGGTAACCTACGGGACGTCCCCTTGAATTTGGATTTCAGATCAGCAACAGTTTTGTAGTATGAGTATGTCTCAGGCAATATTTCGGGACATATTAACAAATTATTCATGATCTTTCCCTGGTGATGTAGTGGCAAAAGAAAAATTATTCATGATCTGAAATACAAAATGAATTGGCTTTCTGTATTTTTGCTTGCTAAATCTGGCTGCCTTATGGAGGGTAGCTGTTGACTCCTTGCTTGCAGGCACTTCATGTGGACTGTTCTGAGGCCAGAGCCCCTCAGGAGCTGGGAAATTGCACGCTGGGCCTGTGCCCCCACCCACTCCCTCACTGCATACCTTCCTTGGGCGTTGGCCGACTGCCTGCTTATGCCCAGCTCAGCCAGGGTGGGCAGCACTGCCAGCTGAGAAGAAAAAGCTGCCCTAGGCCCTTTGCATAAAGGGCAGTCCCTAACCGAGCCCCATCTATGCCTCTCTTAAATCAAGTCCTGACCTGGAAAAATGACATTGTGACAAGCTTAGAAAGGACTAGGCTTTTGGCCAGGTGTGGCGGCTCACACCTATAATCCCAGCACTTTGGGAGGCTGAGGGGGAGGATCCCCTGAGGCCAGGATTTCAAGACCAGCCTGGGCAACATAGCCATACCCCGTCTCCACAAAAAATTAAAAAATTAGCTGGGCATGGTAGCACTTGCCTGTAGTCCCTTGAGCCCAGGAGTTCAAGGCTGCAGTGAGAAGTGATCACACCACTGCACTCCAGCCTGGGCAACAGAGCGGAAGCCTGTCTCTGAAAACATAAAAACAACTCAGGAAACTGACTTCCCAGTCGTAGTAATGAGGACCGCTGCCTGTCCGGGGCTGGCTCCCTGGCAGGCACGGTGTTGGGCACTTCCTACACCTCTCTGCCTCCCTGCACCACTGGATCCACCCAGCAACACTGTGAAACAGATATTTTTATCTCTACAGAAGAGCAAACAGCAGTTCTGAGAGGCCGGGTGACTTGCCTAAGGTTGCATAGCTTCTAAATCATGGAGCCAATGCATGACTCTGCTTCCCCTGTGTGGCAACCCTGACTGGTGTCCCTTAGCCCCAGCTACCCTGGAGGAATCTCATTGTCTCATGTAACAGGCTGCCAGGTGTTTGCACTGAACTGGTAAGAATGTGTTCCATATGTCGATCTGTAGGTTGACGGCAGTTCTGTCCACCACCTGTCTGAGAGGTGTCACCCCCACCTCCCACGGGTGCTCTAGTGGCCTAAGTCTTAGTCTGCATAGCCCCTGGGTTTTATAAACCTTTCCTTCTCCAGGTTAAACTTCCCCATTCCCATCCGCCCTTCCCTGGCTCTTGTAGCTGGCGACAGTGTGCACAGTGCATAGAGCACAGGCCTTGGGCCAGACAGAGCTGCATTCAAGGCCAGGCTTTGCTACTTATTAGTTGTGTGGCCTTGAGTAGGTCTCCTAACCTCTCTGAGTATCTGTTTCTTTCCTGTCAAAAGAGGATACAAATAGGCCCTACCTTCTAGGGTGATAGGAGGATCTGGTAGTCCAGGAGGTATTGTAGAATTAGGGTTAAAAACTCAGGCCGTATAGACCGAGTATTCTGAGATTTGTGTCTGGGCTCTGTTGTTTATAAGGTTTATAAATTGGGCCAATTTACTTAATCTCTCAGAGCTTCAGTTCTCCCCCACACGGTTACACGGATGACCTGGGTCAAGTGTTGGGTGCAGTGTAGATGCGTAGCAGGCAGGTGCTTGTCAGTAGCAGGAGTTGCTGCTGTTGTGGTTACAGAAGGCCTGTCCTGCATAGGTACTTATTAAACAGATACAGGCAGTGACCGTCCAGACGCCTGTCTCTCTGGGAGTTGAGGCATCCACGTGGACAGACGGGTACCGCCATGACGTATGTTGCCTCCATTTCAGGGAGAAGGAACCCGAGGCCTTGGCTCCTGGACCAGCGCCCTGGTCTCCTATTCCCAATGCAGTGTCCTGTGGCCCCATGTTGCCTCGGCCCATTGGCTCCTGTCTGGGGAACAGCTGGGCAGCCTCCCCTGGGCCAAGCACTATAGTGAGAGTCCAGGGGCTCAGGCCCTTCTTTCTTCCTCCCCAGCCAGGAAAGGTCCTGCTGCTCAGGTGTTTTCTGGGGTCCCAGTTCCCCCTCCCGTTTAGCTCTCTCCCCTGCTTCCAGCTCCTCCTCCAGACACTACCTGAGCATCCTCAATGTCTCCCCTTCACTGGAAAGCTCCCCAGCAGCAGACAGTTCTTTTGTGCTGACAATGAGTCACTGGCCCCCTTTCCTTGGCTGCCAGGGAGGGCAGGGCCCGTTTGGCTCAGTTTCTGCCTGGAGCTTTCCTGTACACTAGGCCTCCTTGGGTTGCAGGGGTCGGGTACCTATTTGTACCTATTACAAAGATGGGGAAACTGAGGCTGAGGAGGCTTAGTCTTTTATGGGTTTCTTTTCCCAGGAGCTTAAGATAAGTGACCAAATGGTGCCGACTTTCTTAAATGTTTATAAAATGAAAGTGAAGTCACGTGGACGGGATTGCATGTCTTTTAAGGAGCTGCAGCATTGCCAGGTTATACTGTTTTCTTCCCTACAGAGATGGCAGCGGTTTGGCCCTTTGCCGGTGCTCGCTGCATATCACAGGCCCTTCCAGCTCACACACAGGTTATCCAGAGCGAGTGACCCGCAGGGGACCCTCCTGTGTATCAGCCTTTCATCCTAAGCCCCATTCTCTCCGTAACAGTCCAGGGATCTGCGGGGCCCAGAAACACCTACTTATTAAAGACCTGTTGTGTGCACAGTGTAGATGCAGGCGCCAGAGCACTTGGAAATGAAGATTGTTTCTGCAACGGAGTCAAAGTGGGAAGGGTTAGGTGTTGGTTCAGGGAGGTAAGTGTGATGTGAGCTGCCTCCCTTCTGCCTCCTTGGTGGCTTCTCTTGGTCTGAAAGCCGATGTCAGTCCCACAGTGCCGACTGCGTGGTGAGGCTTCGGCAGGTCCCTTCCTCTCTGGGCCATGGTTTCCAGTAAGGCAGAGGGGCAGTGGTTAGCTCTGAAGCTAAAGACCAGAATCCTCTCTAGACCCAGCCCTGCCCACCCCCAGCTTCCTGCCTCCCCTCCTCTACTCTCCTCTTGCCTTCTGTTCCAGCCACACTGGCTGCTTTTTAGTTTCCAGAATGTTCTGTGCCCCCTTGTGCCACAGAACCTTTGCATGTGCTGTCCTTCCTGCTCAAAATGCCCTTATTTCCTCTGTGCCCCGCACCTGTCTCTTCCTCAGAGAAGCCTTCCCTGCCATACAGTGAGGTTCTGTTTCCTTTTCTGAAACTTCCCTTCAGGGCAGGGGTCTCCTTGGACCCCATGCTCTTAAGGCCAAGTACCTGGTTGGTGAGCATCTCCCCACTGGACTCAGTCCTGGGAGGGCAACTGCACGTCTGCTCTGCACACCTTTGAACCCCCAGGGCAGATGCAGAGCAGCTGCCAGTGTGCCGGGCTAAACTGTCGGTGTTTAAGAAACTTAGCACTGTTTGATCACTTCTCTTAAGCTCCTGGGAAGAGAAACCAATGGAAGACTAAGCCTCCCATGCCTCAGTTTCCCCATCTTTGTAACGGAGAGAGGCCTGATGTCCAGACAGTACATCCCGGGTTTGATCCTGGCTCTGCCGCTGGCCTGCTGTGTGACCTCAGGCGAGTTACTAACACTCACCTCTGAGCCTCAATTTTCTCAGCTGTAAAATGAGGATAACGGTAGCTGAGAGGATTGCGAAGACTCAGCATACACAGAAAGCACTTAGGCTGGTGCCCAGCACGCAGGAAGTGCTCAGTAGTAGATGGAGGTGGGTGATCGTGAGGACTGCCTCTAGAGCTGGCCTTCCGCGATAGCCGACTAGGCCCGTGCAGAGCCTCGAGACCTCTGTAAAGTTGGGTGCGTCGGTCCTTGTAGAATTATTTTCCTAGTCTTTATTTCGGGCCATGGATCCAAGCCCCTTTCGTTTGGTTCATTCACTCTGACACTGGGCCCTGGAGATGAAGGCAAAGTGTCCCAGCCGTCTGCCCTGATGTCATCCGCCCTCCTATGGGAAGGACGCCCACGGTTCTCACTGCCCCAAGTACCTCCTCTTGGCTGAAAGCTCACACTTCCTGTGTGAAGGTTAGGAGAACTGGTTTTGGAGTCAGAGTTGAAATTTAATTCTAGTTTTGCCACTTGCTATTTGTGGAATCTTGATCAATGTATTAATAATTGACCTCTGAGCCCAGTTTTCTCATCTGTGAAATGGGGACGATAATGTCTGTTCCAGAGGCTGCTGTGAGGCCCAGATGAGGTCTTGCAGGTGTTTGGCATAGGACCTGGCACATAGTAGGTGCGCAATAGAGAGAAACTTCTAGAAATGCTTTTCTCTCCTCCCAGTTCTTTACTGCAGGCAGTGACGTCTCCTTCGGCCTTTTCATCCAGGCCAGACACTTGGGCCTTTTGCTGCAGACCGGCTCCTGCGTGTTGTCTGGGCCCAGCACGCGGCCCCCGCCCCGGGCTCTCAGCAACTCTCCCTCGCACCCTGACCCCCCCACCCCTCAATCCCTTGAGTAAACTCCATCCCAAGTAAACTCCCACTGACTGCCGAGCCCCACTGGGCTCCTCACTGGGCCCCCAAGTCTCAGGGCCACACCTGCCTCAGCCACTGCCACACCCTCCACCCACGCAGTGCTTGGGCCTGGCTCCCGCCTTTGGCCAGTCCTGGCTCAGCTTTGTGCTCGGCCCAGGTCCTCTGGAAGCTCTGGCCGTGGCTGCGCGCCCCCAGCGCGGCCTCTGCTCCTGCTTTCTCTGTGGCTTTCCCATCGGGCCTTTGTGATTATCAGGAGTAAAGACCAGTTCCAGTAGAGGGGCTGTTATTTTAAAGACCTAGAGGGCAATAAAAAGGGTGGAATGTTGTAGAAATCTGGAAAAAAAGCCAGAGGGATTTTTCTCCAAATCATAACTCATACCACACTGTCTCCCTGCAGAAAAGTCTCCCCTGGCTTCCCCTGCACTTGGCCTGGAGCCCATGCTCCTTCCCAAGGCCCGAGGCCCCCTCGCTCCCCCGCACCCCACCCCGGTCTCCTGCCACCCTCCCAGACCCTCCCTCTCCAGCCACAGCAGCTGCTTTCCCCCCTGCCCCCACAGTGCCCCAGCCCCAGTGTCCCCAGAAATCAGCCTCCTGTGAACACCCCCATTTCCCATCGAGGCCTCTGATTCTGGAGCAGAGTCCCTGAGTTCCCCAAAGGAGCCTCCGGCCCTTGGAGGCAGGAAGGGGTGTGGTTGTCAGCTGCCGCAAGGGAAGGCTGAGGGGGTGAAGCAGCAGCTCCCCTGGCCTGGCCTGTGTTCTTTCTCCTTCACCCCTGCGCCACTTGCTGTTGGAAGACAGACATTTCTGAGGCCCTCGGGGGTGCCAGGCGGGGGCTCCTGGTGCTCAGATTCACAGACCTTCTCCCCCTTGTGCCACAGGTGATTCTCCTGGGTCACTGGCTGCTGACAACCTGGTAAGTGACTCTGGGTATCCGGCTACATCCACGCCATCTCCTGGCTCTGTGTTGTGTCTCCCGAGGTGTGTGTCCACGTGTCTCGGCTCTGTGTCTACGTGGCTCCCGGGGTCTGCGTCAGCCAGGTCAGGTCCCGATGCTGCCATGTTTTGGCCGGGTCACTTTGGGCGAGCGGCTCTGCCTCTTGGGACTTTGGTTTCTGTCTGGGCATAAGGACTGCACTCCCCGCAGGGGCCGGGAGGGGAAGTGTGGCAGTGCTCGTCAGACACAGCTGGGCTCCGGCATCATCGCAGGCTTGATTTTCAGTATTTCCATCTCTTTTATCTGTTGAGTTTCTGGGAGATTCTCTGCCAAATCAAGATTGGAAACCATTGAGCTCACAGGTGCATTTTGCAGACTTCGAAGTGCAGTGCACGTGTAAGCAGCTGCAAGTGATGTGAACAGTGCTAGTCGAGGCTCACAACCTGGGGGAACAGGGCCAAAATGCAGATTTCTCAGTCACGCTCCCCAGGGTTCTGAGTTGATGAGGCTGGGCTGGAACCCAGGCACCTGCTTTGTTAAAACCAAAAGATGATGGCCGGGCGCGCGGTGGCTCACACCTGTAATCCTAGCACTGTGGGAGGCCAAGGCGGGAGGATTTCTTGAGGCCAGGAGTTCGAGACCAGCCTGAGCAAGAGAGTAAGACCCTGTCTCTACAAAACAAACAAACAAAAAAAACCCAAAAGGTGAGATGACTTATTGAAAGAGCTATTGAGCCTGACTGCACTTAACACACAAGTATTTTGCACGAGTTTTCTGCATGTTACACTTCAGGGAACGTCATTTGAATTCATGAAGTACCCTGCTGCGTGCTGAGGCAGGCCCCGTGGCCCTGGTTATAAGTGAGGCAGACAAGAGCCCTGTCCCCCTGGATTTTCTATGTGGCATGGCAGGTTGGGCAGGAGCGTGGCCTGTGTGTTCAAATCCCAGCCCTACCACTTAGTAGCTATGTGACCTTGGGCAAGTTTCTTAACCTCTGTGACCCAGTTTCCTCATCTGTGAAAGGATAATACTAGCACCGCCCTCCTAGAGTTGTTAACACACAAATGCACATAAATGAGTTAATTTATTTTATTTATTTTTCTGTGAGTCTGAATGAGTTAATTTAAAGCACTGAGAACTGCCAGATACTAGCAAGTGCTCTGTAAATGTTGACCATGATTTTCACTGGATTGGCAAGCAAACAAATACATAAACAATGTCAGTAGCAACACCCTAAAAAACAGAATAGGGTGGGCGTTGTGCTGGGAAAGTGACGAGGGAGGTGGAACGTAGCGTTGGTCAGTGAGGGAAGGGGTCTCAGAGTGCACGTTCAAGCTGCCGCCAATGACAAAAGGGGCTCAGCGTTCAGGGTGGAGGGGTGAGCACAGGGCGGTGGCTGGGTGGTCAGTAAGGGCGGGACTGTGTTTGGCGGATCTCCCTGGCCTCTTGGGCCCTGGCGAAGAGTCTGTATTTGATTCCAAATGGGACAGAGAACTGTTGGAGGATTTTTAGCAGAGAAGTGACAGCGTGTGATTGACATTACCGGTTGCTATTTAGAGAACAGAGTGGCAGTCAGGAGCCCAGCGTGGGGTGGCTATGGCAGTAATAGTGGCGGGAGAGGATGATGGTTTGGACCTGCAGGGACAGGGCCAGGTTCAGGATCTGGGAGGGAGGTGGAGCCGGTGAGATTTGCTGACGTTGCTGGCACACAGCCAGGTGGCCTCGCAGACTGTGGCCTGTTCTTGGAGGAGGCCTGGAGACCCCAGAGCAGGAGGGTGGGGACCTACGGCGTGGTGGCCACCTGATGGGACTGACGTGCCTCTTCTGGCAGGGGCTGCATCGTGTTCTCAGGCTCCTACGCCTGGGCCAACTTCACCATCCTGGCCTTGGGCGTGTGGGCCGTGGCACAGCGGGACTCCGTGGACGCCATAGGCATGGTAAGGAGGGCGGGGCAGCAGTGCAGGGTGGGCCATGACCCCGGCTCTGCCTCCTGCTCCTGTTCCAATCTGCCATCTCTTCCTGTGGTCTAAAGCCCTATAAATCTGCTTCTGGGCTCCCAGCCCACACGTGTCTGCGCTATCCTGGCCCGTGCTCCGCTTGCCTGGCTTAGAGCACCCCAAGTCTGCTGTTGTCTTCCTGAAGAAAGACGTGGGGTGGGGTCCCACCAGTGCCCCAGATTGGTCACTCTGAAAGGGCAGAGGAGCATCCACCCTATAATCTGCCTGAGGGGCTCTTTTAGGGGCTAGGGAGGCGGCTGGGAGACCCGGCCAAGAGGGACTCCACTACTTTACAAAAGCGAGTTGACCCGGCCCAGCTGCAGTCTCCCACATGGGAGCTTCCCTGTACCCACTAAGCCCTGGGAGGCAGTGAGTGCTCCAGCTCAGGCCTCTTCAGCCCAAGGCAGGGGCAGCCCAGGACAGTTGAGAAGAGATTTTCTTTGTGGTGGAGATGGGTCGGATTAACTCCAAGGGACCTTCCATCTTACAGGTCCAGGAGCCAAGTGTTGTGCCCCATCGTGGCCCCAGGGGTGACGGGAGATAGGTGGGTAGGGGCTCTGGTGGGGCTGGAAGGCCGAGTCCCCAGCCTGTCCCCAGCCTGTCCCCAGCCTGCCATCTCTAGCCAGGAGGCCTGTCCCCAGGGCCCTGCCTGCTTGCCTGGTCTGCTTTCCAGCAAACCCTAAGGACATAGCAGGGCATGAAACAGCATCCAGTCTGGGATCCGTGATGGGGGAACCGCGGGGGCATGGTGGGAGTGTCGAGGTGTCAACTGGTGACAACATGTCGCTTGTCTTGCAGTTTCTAGGCGGCTTGCTGGCCACCATCTTCTTGGACATCGTGTACATCAGTATCTTCTACCCACGGGCCGGCCTCACGGACACAGGTCGCTTCGGGGCTGGCATGGCCATCCTCAGCCTGCTGCTCAAGCCCTTCTCCTGCTGCTTCGTCTACCAGATGTACCGAGAGCGTGGGGGTGAGATCCTGATCCGCACTGGTGAGGCCACCACCTCCGGCCAGCTCCCCCACGCCATGCTCTCCCTTGCCTGGGCCCCAGCCGCTGCCCTGTGGGTCGGCCTTGCCCTGTGGGACCAGGGCTCCAGGTGCACGGAGGAGCGTGGCGTGGTGCTCTGCCCAGGCTGGAAGGCTTGCAAGTGCCTGGTCTCTGCTGCAAGAGCCCTGTGGTCCCCTGGCTGTCCTGATCCGCTGTGACCTTTCCCTGCTGTCAGGCTGCAGCCAGGGCCTCCTCCCAGCCCAGAGCTCGGCCGCAGCTGGGGGTGCCATTCAGTTCCCAGAGGCAGCCTGAGGCCTGTAGGCACCTGTCGGGGCAGCTTCTCGCCTCTCTTCCCACCTGGCCCTTTGCTGGAGCCCCACTCTCCTGCCACATGGGGTCATCCCTCTCCTGGGGCAGAGACAGTGCTGGGTGGCCAAGGGAGAGCCATGGGAGCCTCACTTTCCCCGCCGGCCGACCCTCTCCCCTCTCGCCCTCTCCCACGCCCTCTCTGAACTCCTGTACCCCTTCTCATGGTGGTCAAGCCATTTTCCCACTCTCTGACCCATGCTTTCACTTCCTTTCTCTCTTTTTGAGACAGGTGGGGAGGGGTGGGGAGTGGCCTTCTACCTTTCACTCGTGAGAGGTCCCGAGTGGCCTGTGACTGGCCCAGGGGAGCAGCCAGGGCGAGGACAGGAATGGTCTGGGGCCACCCACCCTGGCCGACCTCAGCACTGGCTGGACCTGCCGCCCTGGTGACGGGATCCAGGAATGTTCCTCCCATTGGACCGATGGGGAAACTGAGGCCTATAGCCCTTGGGACTTGTTCAGGATCCCAGGCCAAATGTGCACAGTGGGGGATGTCCTCGTGCCTGGGAGAGGAGCCCGTGGGCCCAGGGCTCAGATTCCTGAGCATGGCCTGCTTGGGCAGGCACCATGGCCCGGTGGCCAGGGGCACTGGCTTTGGGCTCAGGTTTCAGTCTCAGCGTCATCAGCTTACAGCTGTGTGATCTCAGGTGAGTCAGTTCATCTTTTCGACCCTCAGTTTCCTCATCTGTAAAGCGGGAACGATAAAAATACCTGCTCCGTAGGGGTACGAGAAGATCGAACGAATGATACATACTAAAGGCTTAATGCCTGGGGCTACCCCCACTGTCACTGTCCTTGGCATCAGGACACCCAGCTCTGGCCTTGCGGGGGTGGACCTTGGTCTGGACTCACTAGAAGCATCTGAGTTCTCACCCTCCTTTCTCCTTCCCCCACGTCCGCTGCCCTCCAGGCTTCCTCGGACCTTCTCAGGATCGCAGCGCCTACCAGACAATTGACTCTGCAGAGGCACCCGTGGACCCCTTTGCAAGCCCAGAGGACAAGGGTCAAACTGCCCGTGGGTACTGAAGCCAGCCCTGCTGTGCCTGGCCCCAGCCTGGGCACCACCGCCTTCCTTGTGCCTGGGAGGTTGTTCCAGGGATGCCCTGGCCTCCCTTTCTTGGACCTAGGATGGAACGTGTCCTCTCATTCCCCATCTCAGGGGTTGCCTCAGTCAAGTGCCCCAAGAGGCCAGGGCTCAGCACTGTGCACACTCCTGTCCCAAATTCCCTGAGGCCTCCCGTCGCTTCAAGGCACCCACTGGTCCCCAGACTGGAACTGTGGTCTCTTTCTTCACCTCCCACCCCATAGCCACACCACGGAGGCCCCAGTCTGAGGCAGGCTTAGGCGTCTGAGGGCCGGTGATACCCCTACAGCTCCCCCCAGTTTGTTGCACCCTCCTGCAGGAGCTCTGAGAGCTTTGGGCTGTGCTCAGCCCCAGGGGCAGTTGGGCATGGGAGTGAGGTCCCCCTGCTTCTCACTGCCTGGTCACTTGGTGCCTGGGGACCCTGGGGCTAGAGGCGGGAGGTCTCTGCAGCACCCATGACCCACCACAGCCTCCAGCTGCCCTTCTTGGGGCCATGGCATTGAAGATGGCATTAAAGTTTGGGGAATTCTGTAGCTAGGCTGTGTTTCGAGCCATGTTCTATCTCCTGGCTGGGCTGGGGCCTGGACTTGCCACTCCTGGGAAGATTCCTCCTCTGAATCCCCCCGAGGAGGCTGGGCTGAGCTGCCCCGTTCTGTTGTGGCAGGAGGAAGCAGGGCACTTGCGCTTCAGCTGGGCTGGGCCTGCCCTGTGCCCGGCTCTGGCACCAAGGCCACAGCAGAGGGCACTGGTGGGTGTGCGCACGGGCACCCCTTTGAACCAGCAGGCGCGGGTATTGGCGTGGATCCTGCTCTGCCATTCACTAGCTGTGTGCTCTCAGTATCTTCTGGAACAGGGCTGCTGCCTGCTCAGAGGTGGTGATGCAAACTGAATGTAAAGTGCCTGGCCCTGTGTGACAGCAAAGTTGCTATTTGAGCCATTGGTGTCAGGTTAGGAGGCCACGGGTGACCTCTTCCTGGCAGCCCCTGTGTTCTAGTCATAGCTGACTTGGGCCAACATGTGTCCAGAAACTCCTCGGGTCCCCAGGCCAGGGCCCACCCTACTGCGACTGGTCTGGCCGTTCACACTTGGCTCTTCTGCCCTCTGGGCACCAGGTGCCTGGGCTTTTCCAGGCCATCCTGGTTTGTCCCTGGCACCAAGAGGTCAAGGCCTAGCGCACAGCCCCCACCGTTCTCCTGAATCCATCAGCGCATCAGAAGAGGCCGCGCACCCGCCAGGTGCCGAGCGTGGCCCGGGCTGCAGCGGTGAACTCAAGGGCTGCTCTCTGAGATGTAGGGGTCTCCCCATCAGGAGGATTGTACTCCGAGGCAAGACCCCTGAAAGAAGGGAGCACAGACCTCCAGGCCGGTGAGGGAGGCTGCTCTGGAGAAGGCACTCGTGCCCAGGGTGCAGGGATGCGAGTGGCCGCAGTTGTGCGAAACCGGAAACATCCTCACTGTCGGGAGACCGGCCAGTAAGTCCACTCGTTGCATTGGGTGCTACCCCACAGTTACGGTCAGTGACCTGGACCTATTCCTGTAAACGCTGGTCCCCCGCACATGAGCAAAGCAGATTGCAGAATGGCATTAGTGTGAATTTTAAGACCTCACAGCAAGGCCATATACTGTTCTTGGGTGTATGTGCAGTAACGTAGAAAAGTAGGGACCAGGAGGACACATGTCAAGTTCATGACTGCAGTGGCCTTGAGTGGCGGAGGAGTGTGGCCGAGGGGCATGGGACCCTTTCTCTTGTTTGTACTGTTCCAGGCACAGGGAAGGCTTGCGGCTGACGTGCTTGTGCACCTGTGTCGTGAACGTGTCTGATTCCCAAAGGGAATGAAAAGTGAAGGCAGGGCCTCGGCCCGGGCAGTGGGGACAGATGACAGAGCCCGCCAAGCACAGCGGGTGGTGTGTCCAGAGGCCTGGGTTCCTCACAGTCCCGGACACCCAGGCTGGACTGGCTGTCTGGGGCGGGGGCAGGGGGAGGCTCCCGTCTCAGGTGGGGTTCCCCAGAAGCAGACTCTGGCAGGAAAGCAAGGAATCTGGGCTTCCTGGTCATTGAAAGGGGCCACTCCGAGGGTGGGACAGGGTGACTTAAACTTTCGGGCACTCCGGCTCCCTGACCGTGCAGGCAACGTGGCTCCAGGAGCCCAAGGCCATCTGAGACAGACAGGAGTGGTGAGGGTCTCCAGTGTGGCCCACCCCTCCACACAGGCCCCACGAGGGACAGTGCTCACATATAACCAGGGCTGAAGGGCCCCCCATGAGTGAGGCTGTGTTCCAGATGCAGGGGGTGCCAGAGTGGGGGGACAGTCACTCGGGAGGTGCTGTCTAGCATGAGAAGCTCCAGGCACAGGCACAGCTAACCAGAAGGCGTGAGGAGGAGCGCGCCTGCCCCAGTGTGGCAGGGGCTGAGAGAGGGAGGGGAAGATGAGGAAGGCAGCTGGCGTCAGATGGTGCAGCGTTAGTAGGTCATTTTAAGGACTTTGGCTTTTGTCGAGTGAGGAGGGAGCCCCTGGAAGGCCCTGGGCAGAGTGGGACACGGGCTGACTTACATTCTGACAGGACCATGTTGGTGGCTTGGAGCGGGGGTGGAAGTGGGGGTGGTGACAAGTGGTCACTCCTGGACGCACTTTGAAGGCGAGCAGCGGGTCTGCTGTGGGGTTGGCCGTGGGAGGCAGAGAGGAGCCAGTGACCGCAAGAAGTGGGCCCGAGCGGCTGGGAGGCTGGAGCTGCCTGGCCTGGGCGAGGCCGGGAGTTCGGTCTCGGGTGGGCCGCACCATGGTAACAGGGCGCCAGACATTCCCACCACCGTGTTCCTTTTAAAAGGCCTGTGTCAGCAGGGACTTCGAAGCAGGACACTCTCCAGGTTTGAGGTTATAGTGTCTGATGTTCTAGAAACTGTCAAGCACAGGAAGAAAATTCCACTTGCTTCTGGTCTCCTGCTGGAGAGGCTTGAAGTCGCTTGTCCAGTTTTCAAATCTATTTCTTGTTTTCTCAAAGCTGAGCCCCCGAGATAAAGAAGCCAGAGAAATTGCCCAAGGGAGGTCACTGCCTTCTCCTGTTGGCCAAAACGGGACCAGAGCTGGTAGTACCCACAGGGCCCCACCCCCGCCTGTCCTCAGTCTCCAAAATGGCCCAGAAATTCCAGTTTCGCAGCCTGTCTCCAAACTGGCTCTGGAGCCAGCGAGGCTTGGTTTAAATCCCAGAGGTGCCCTGAAACTGGCTGTGTGAGAAACGACAGTCTCTTAACCTCACTGTGCCTCAGTTTTGTCATTTGGAAAATGGGGATAATATAATAATAGTGTCTGACTCAGGGATTAGCGGGAATTGGAAATGGTGTGTTTAGTAAATGTTTTAGATCTCATTACCCTTATTACCGTGTAATCATTCAAAGAGAGAAATGGTGACCAGTCTGTCTGGCCATCCATCCATCCATTCATTTATTATCGATTTTATAAACATTTATTGAGTGCTTTCAATAAGTTTTCAAAAGATTGGAAAATTTTTCAGGAAGTTTACATTTCAGGGGAGGTTTTCCTCCCTGGCAGCAGCAGAACTCCGAGGGTCCTGTTCTCCAGGTGGTTGAGGGCTTGTGTGTACCGCTCGAAGTCCAGAAGCTACCTGCACAGTCCACAGGTGATTACAAAACGTCTTAGCTGACATGGAAACTCAGAATCACAGATTTGAGCTTGAAAGGAGCTTAGAGCTCCCCTAGCCCAGTGGTTTTTAAAATATTTTGTTTCATACCCTTTGCTCCAAAGAAATATTACCCAGTATGTACAAGAGTGGGTGTGACCAAGCACTCTCCTCCCATCACTGCGAGGGCACCTAGGGCTCCCAGAGCACAGTGTGAAAGTGACCTCCTAGATCCTTGCCTGGGACGCAGGCCCAGAAAGAGGAGCTGTGGACAAGGGCACACGGAGACTCAATTTCAGAGCTGGAACGTGGCAACGCGATTAGGATGCCAGTGGGGTTTAAAAAGAAAAACAAACTTCTACAGAGGAAAACCTGATGAAAATCAGAAGCTCAAGGGCTAGGTTAATTCATAGAATAATTCATACACCCGAAGAGAGAACTGATAGCCTGGAAGATACATTTGAAGAAATTACTCAGAATGCAGCAAAAAGAGACAAAATATGAAGGAGAGGTTAAGAAACAAAGGACAGAGTTTGGGACAATATAAACATAGCCAGAATTCCTGAAGGAGATGATGGGAGAGAAGCAACATTCAGAGAGATAATGGCAGAGTATTTTCCAAAATGGAAAGTTGCCAAACCTCAGATTCAGGAAGCCAAACAATTCCCAAACAGAATAAATAAATAGAAACCTACAGTTAAAGTCGTAAGGGCACATTGTTCGTTGACGACTGTATCTTCAGCACTTACAACAGTGCTAGAAACCAGCCAGTGCTTCATACAAGTTGTAGAATGAATGAATGAATGAAAACTGCAGAACACCAAAGACAAAAAATTAAGATCCCAAAAGCAGCCAGATAGAAAAGATAGTGTCCCAGAAGGAATGACAATTACTGGCAGCTGATGTCTCAACAGCAACGACAGAAGTCAGAACACAGATGATATCTTGAAAGTGGTGAGAAAAATAACTGTCAACCTAAAATTGTGTGTACCAGTGAGGTATCTTTCAGACATGAGTGTAAAATAAAGACATTCAGGAGAATGACATTAGAGTTTATCACCTATAGATCTTCAATACAGAAACGTCTAAAGAAACTTTTGGTGGAGCAGGGAAATTTTTCCAGAAAGATCTGGATGCACAAAGAAAACAGTAAACATGTGGTTTAGTCTCCAAGACAATAATAATATATAAATCAGGAGAAGGTGACCAGAGACAAAGTGTTCCAAAGGCCCTTTTTTGTCTGGAAAGAGGGTAAATGCTGGATTAGCTTTAGGTTTTGTTAAATATACCTAATAAAATGTCTTGGATAACCACTGAAAGAATAGATAAGGACTGTGCAGTTTCCAAGCCAGAAGTAGAAAAAAAAAATGCTGAAGAAAAAGAAAATCTTGATCAATTCTAAAAAATGCAAGAAAGGAGGAAAGAATTTGACCATTAGCAAGCACAAAAATAAGATGGCTAAAATAAGTATGTCAAAGTTATACACTTGTAAATGAATTGAATTCTAGTTAAGATACAGGATTGTCAGGTCAGATTTTTCAAAGTTCCAGCTGTATTGTGTGTACAAGTGACATACTCAGAAGTATGGACACAGGGGGGCTGAATGGAAAAGGATGAAAAAGTTATGCCAGGCAGAGAGGACCAAAACAGAGCTGGGGTAGCTAAATTAATACCCCACAATTTGACTTTAAGGCAAAAAATATTACTAGAGATAAAAGAGGATCCATCCACCAGGTATGGGAGGAGATAGTAGACACAGACTTAGGAAGGACGCAGTAATAACTCTCTCCTTCAAGAACTGCTTTAGGGTTTAAAAGGCTCTTTGGCATTTATTTGTTAAACATCTGACCCTCATATCAAACCCGGGAGGTAGGTATTACCATCCTCGTTTTACAGAAGAGACGCCTTAGGTTCAGAAAGGTTAGGGACTTGCCTAAGGTCACACAGCAGCATAGCAATCTTGATCACAGGTCTTCGGACTCCCGGCCGGTGCTCTTTCCTCTCCCAGCAGGTGCTTAGAAGGGAGCAAACATACAATCCCGGCAGAGGGAGGGAAGGGCATGGCAGGGCACGGTGGGGAACAGCGTAGGCAGAGGCTTGGCAGGAGGAAAATTGAGGGACGTTGGGAGCTTTGAGTGTGATTGGGCCAGGCTCACGGCAGGACGGGGGGTCGGTAGGGTGGAGTCCACGCACCCCAGCGGGGACCGGAAGGCCAGGAGAGTTTCGCCTGTCTGGCTCGCGCAAAATGTCTGCACCAGGCCGCCTGCCTTGCTAGCGGATTTGCGGTGCCTGGGCCGGAACCCACATGCAGAGGACCGCGAGCGCAGCAGACGCCGGAGGCCACGCCCACGGGGCGGGGCCGCTCTGCTCGCTGACATTCCTCCCCCATCCCCCACCTGCCCGGGTCGTTAGCCGTCCCAACCCAAAGTCCCCTCCAGATTCAAACGAGACTGGGTGCGGGCTGACCCGAGGAGGACCGATGCACGTGAGGGCAGGAAACTGACCGCAGGCTCTTTTGGTGGGGACAGGCGGGAGGCTCTGCGTGTCCTCAAGTGGACAAGGATGCGGGTGGAGCGGCGAGGGGGGCAGACGGAGGGAGGGGTGAGAGGCAGGGAGATGGACAGATGAGCCCAGGCGTGGGGGGTGGTGTAGGAAGGGATCCTGTGGATTAGCTGCCTCAAATCAGCTTTGGCAAGAGGTGGGGGCCGGGGGGATGGTCCTGGCTGGGAGCCCGCGCCGGGGAGCCAGCCCGGAGGCCCGGGGCTGGGCAGGCTGCCTGCCTTTCTAAGCTCCAGTTTCCTCATTTTTAAAACAGAGAACCCAAGTCTCGGGCCTGCGGTGCAGATGAAATGACAGATGCCTGCTGAGGGCTTCAGGGTGCCTAGCATGGTTCAGTCATTCATTTATTAATAACGTGGTCATAGCCCCTCCTGTGTGCCGTGCCCTAGTCTATGTGCTGCGAATACGCACGGAAAAAACAGACAAAACAGCCTGTCCTTGTGTGGCTCATAATCCCCTTCAGGGAGAAACACACTCCTTTCTTCCCGATGTTAGGTGGCCGTAGTTAAGTGCTGCAAGGAAGTAATGCAGGAGCGGGCAGGGAGCTGCAGGTGGCGAGAGTGAGGCAGAGAGGGTCACTGGCGTTGGAGGCAGGACTTGAAGGCCTGAGGGAGAGGGCAGAGAGGTCCAGCAGAGGGAGCAGCAGTGCAAAGGCGCGGTGGTGGGGGCATGCGTGGCCCGTTGGGGGAACAGCCACGAGGCTGGTGTGTTGGAGCAGAGTGAGCGAGGGGGACAGGAGGGAGGGCAGGCTGAGAAGGTAGTGGAGAGCGGGAGAGTGAATGCTTTAGACTTTGTGGGCCTTAAGGTCTCTGTTCCAACCATTCAGCTCTGCCCTGGTAGCCAGGAAGCAGGCAGTCCATGCACCAGTGGGCGTGGCTTCCTTCCAATATGACTTTATGTAAGAGGCCACTGCCCATGCCATAGTGTGGCAACCTTGGGCCTCGAAGGCTCACAGGGGCACTGAGTGGGCTGGGGAGCCTTCAGGGCATTTGGGCTGAGGCAGGGCCTGGTCCGATTTAAGTGCTCACAGAATCAGCCTGGCCGCTGTGTGGGGACAAAGCTGTCGGGTGTGGGGACAAGGGCAGGATTAGGGAGACCAGCTGGGAGGCTAGAGGTGACAGTGGCTTGGCCTGGGGAGGTGGGATGGAGGCAGAGCCGAGCTCAGATTCGGACTGCCTTTGGAAGGGAGAGCACGTGGGATTAGCTGCCGGTATGAGGGAGAGGGCGTCAGGTGGCTCCAAGATTTTCATCTGAGCCCTGGGAAGCCTGGCGCTGCCATCCGTGGAGAAGGGGACATCCGCGGAGATAGGCGACAGCTGGTCTTCAGGATGGCAGGGAGTTCAGATGCTGCAGTGCCCATGAGACATCTGGGCGGGCGTGTGGAGGAAGCGCAGACCTGCCCCGTCAGACCTGTCTCCAGCAGCTGAGAGGTCTGCACGGAGTGGAGGTTCCCTGGAAGGCAGCTCTGTGGGGCGGGTCGCATAGGGGGAGGTGGGGCAGGAACATTTGCCTGTGATGAGGGTGAGAAATGGCCTGGGACCTGGAGGCTCAAGGGGGTGTTTGGGAGGGGGGTTGTTTTGTTTTTTCAAGATGGAAGCAATAACTGGCTGTTCTGTGCTGAGTGTGACTGTTCAGTAGAGGTGTGGGACGTGTCGACGGTGGGGGCCCTGCCTAAGGGGGGTGACATCTGGGCCTGTGCCTGGTCCCCAAGCTGTGCCCTGGGGCTGTGGGGGCCGTGCTAGCCCCGGTGCTGCCCATGGGCAGGTGAGACAGGAAAGCACCCAGAGCACAAGGGGGCAGGGCCAGCTGGGAGGGGACCACAGCTGGTCAGTCCCCAGCAGGGGAGGCCACAGGCACACATGCCGAGGGGGGTGGCCGGGAGGAGGTGGCAGAGGTTTGAGGACAGAGGAGAGAGTAGGAAGCAGTATCCAGGAGGGAGGGGACCAGAGTCTGATTCTCGAGCGTCCTTTCAGGCCCACTGAAGGTGGCAGGGGGGACCGGGGGCGGCAGTCAGTGCACGTGTGGGGTTGCCTCCAGCCACTCTCCCCGCCAGGTGCGGGCGAGGGGGGTGCTGCCTTCACCAGCCTTGTAGTTTCACCAAGCGAGTGTGGCAAGGACGGGGAGGGCTCGAAGGGGATGATTATAATTCTTGATCCTGAAGCTGCCGAAGGAGGGAGAGAGACATCCAGGGCACAAGGGACAGCTGGAGAGTGATGGGGCCAGAGGGTTGGGGTGTCACGGGGGAGGCCTGCTGGCATTGGGGCACTGGAGGGCATGAGCTGGACAGGCAGCGTGGACTCTGAAACTGAATTGGTGGAGGGGGCAGTTACTTCAATGACAAAGTCGGGGAGACCATGGGAGCAGGTGGCTGAGGTCAGGTGAAGAGCAAGACTGGGGGAGGGGAGCAGGGTGAGGGCTCCGAGGGCCAGGCGTCCTTCGGGACTCCTTGTGGATGGTGACATCATGCACAATTCAGGCAGGCGTGTCTTGGAGAAAGTGACAGGAACCAAGAACTGAACATGTCCAAGAATGGAGGCTCCACCCAGACGTCCTTCAGCGCAGACAGCTTAGAGCTGGAGTGTTTCCAAGAGAGGGGAGAGAGAGTGGTCTGGAAGTGGCAACAGGAAGCAGAGAGGGCCCCCACCCCTCCGCCAGGCTCCCCGCTCCCAGAGAGTGGCCTAGGCAGTGGCGTCCACATGGTGGGGGGGGGGGGGGGGGCGGTATCAGTCAGTGTTAGAAAGAGTGGGCACAGGAAGACACCAGCAGATGACATGGAAAGGGGGAAGATAGTGGGGCAGGAGAAGAGCCCCCAGGAGGCCCAACCAGTCAGGCGCAGGCCCTCGGGACAGCATGGGCTGGGTGGAGGGCAGCCAGGGTGCTGCTGAAGGGTGGGGGTGGGGACCAGGGCAGCCTGTCCTCTCCCCCCAGAGCCCATGTGATCAAACAAGCCAGACCACTGAGCATGGCGCAGACCAAGGACACTGCCCTGGAGCCCATGGAGCTACAGCCGGACACGAGCCACAAGGAGAACGTGCCCCCGAGGCTTGGGGCACCCCTGAGGCCAGGCAAGAGGCTTAGTGGGCCTGAGTGGGCCCCTGCAGGCATTGGCCCAGAGCCCCTGTCCCAGACCTCACTAATTCTAAAGATTTGCCGCCCACAGGCAGCTACTTGCAGGACAAAGTCTTTCCAGGCTAGGGCCTGGGCAAGTGAGGTCAGGACGAAGGGGCTCAGGAGTGGGCCCAACTGGTGCCCCTGGCTGAGATGGGGCTCTCGTAGGTCAGTCTGTGCCAGGGGGGTGGTGGGCTGGGGGCCCCGCTGCTTGGGCTGGCAGCAGACCCCTAAAGTCCTGGCTCCCTCTTCCTGGGGCCGTTTCCCTGCCCAGCTCTGAGGCCAGACGCCCCCCCTTTCCCTCCTGAGCACTGACCACCGAGTCCTCCCCCAGGGCATGACTCTCTCTTCTCTCTTTAGAGCAACAGAGATTCCGAAGGAGCCCGGGCGTCAGCCTGGGCAGTGGATGTGGCCAGTGGGTGCCCAAGAGGGGGAGGCCTGCTGCCACACCCTCCCTGGGGGCAGTGCTGCACCAGGAGCCCTGCAGGGTCCAGACCAACCTTGCCAGCCCTGGTGCCCTCCTGGGCCTAGTCCTGAAGGACAGCATGGGCCCACTGATCAAGGCAAGCTTCTGGCAACAGAGTAACCTGCAGCCCGCAGCTGGGAGGCCCCGGGGCAAGGCCCGAGAGTTTGCCCAGCAGAGTAACCTGAGCATAAGCGAGACCACCAGCCCCCGCCTCTGGCAGGAGCCTCGGGAAAGCTTGGGGCCCCACATGCTGCCCTGCGGAAGTCCCCTACCCCAAGAGCCACTGGCTCGCCCATCCCGCAGCCTGATGCAGTCCAGGCTGCTGGCCACAGACACCCAGAGCCTGGACTTCAGGCCCGCTGCAGGCTTTGCCCCTCTCAATGGGCGCACACAGCCAGGCCCCAGATCCTGGCGTGGCCCGGGGAACTGGACCCCCAGGCTTGAGGGGGGACCCCTCACCCTGGAGGACCTGGCTGCCCCTGCCCAGAGCCAGGCTCGGGCCCCGTCCCACGCTGCCGTCCACCAGCTACTGGCCTCTGTACGACGCCTGGAGCAGGAGGCGGGCCGTCTCAAGTGCAGGGCGTCCCAGGAGTCCCCAGGTGCTGCTCAGTGGGACCCCTGGCCTAGCAGTGGCCAGGCACCCCAGCCCAGCCGGCCTGTTCTTGCCTTGTGTCATGAGAGGAGGAAGAGACACCCCCGAGGCCACAGGGAAACTGCAGATGGTCAGGCTGGTCTCTCAAACTCTTGGACACGCAGCAAGCCAGCCTTGCCGGAGACCACTTTGGGGATGCTGCCTGGAGATCTTGACCCTGAGCAGGGGCCCCTTCCTGCCCACCCCCTATGGCCTGGGGAGGACTTCTCCCCGGAGCCTGTGTGTGGCAGGGCGCAGAGGGGCCACCCCCGTCTCCCTCAAGGGGTGAGGAGCAGGGAGGCCACACCCTGCTCTTCAGCCTTCTCTAGCGCAGCCCGGGGGGGCCTACCTAGATGGAAAGGAGAGGAGGGGGCCCCAAGGGAGCTGGCCAGCAGGAAGGAGGAGAGGACGGCTTCCTGTCTACCAGACATAGTCCCAGCCAGGAGCACCCCGCAGGTAGCAAGGAGCACCCCGAAGGTACAGGCCAGAGGAGGCTGGGAGTGGGGGAGGGGGGGTCCTGTCCCACCTGCTCCTCGGCCTGAGAACTGTGTCACGTCCTCTTGTTTCGCAGAACCAGGCCCCAAACATTGTGGCTCTGGAAGCGGAGGCAGCCCGGTGAGGCCATGGCTGGGTGGGGGTGGGCATGGGGGTGGGGGACATGCTCCCAGGACAGCTCCTCTCCCGTTGCCTGGGCTGTCCCTGCTGGGGAATGAGGAGAGCCTCCTGATCCCAGTGACAGGATCGTGGGGACTGCTGCTCCTGGGTTTGGGCACTGGGAACCTAACCTGAGGCTGCCCTGGACTCTTGTCAGTCGAATGGGTGTTCTCCTGCCTCCAGGGCCTTTCTTGTCTGGGATTTCCAAGTCTAGCCCCCAGTGAGAGGGAAGTTCTCCCTGCTGCCGCATGCCCGTCACCTGCGTGATTGCTGCAAGGGTGCATGGGTGGCGCCCAGCCGCCAGCTGCTCCCTGGGGGTAGAAGGGCCGGGTCCACCCCCATCAGCCCTAGTCTGTGCCCAGCCGGCAGCTGCTGTCCAGATGTCTCAGAGCCTGGAGGCACTTGGCGCGGAGACGGCGGGCCGTGGCAGTCGCGGTGGCACTGGGCCGCCGGCAGCTGTTGCGAAAGGGCCTTCAGGCACTGCGGTGGGCCCTGTGGCTCCGGGAGGCCCGGCTGGAGGCAGCGTGGGGACAATACACGAAGGCCCTGCTGGCCTGGAGCTTCCGAAAGGTCGGGTCTCCAGATTGGGCCAGGGGAGGTGTGAAGCCCTGGTGTGTCGGGGAGGAGGCTCTGTCTACTGAGAGGGCACCCACTGGGCACAGGTTGCACCTCATGAATGATCAGGGTAGAGCGTGTAATTACAAGTCCAGGCACCTGAACTAGCTCTGCCAGAGTTCAAATCCTGCCTCCACCCCTTTATAGCTGTGTGACCTTGGGCAAGTTAGTTAACCTCTCTGTGCCTCAGTCTTTTTATCTCTAAACTGGGATAATAATAGTACATACCTCTCAAGGTTGTTGTGAGATTAAATTAATAAATATAAGGGACTCAGAACCCTGCCTAGCACGTAGCAAGCATTCTACCATGTAAGTGGTTGGTATTTTTTATTAGTGGTTTGCCAGCCAGGACCGGAAGAGTATGTCCGTGTTCTTCCCTCCTTGGAAAAAGGGTGCTCTGGGAGGCCCAGCCCCAGGTTTTATCTCCCAAGGAAAGCCCTGCCTCTAGGGATCCATTTCTCCACTCATTGATTCCTTCATTCCCAAAGAGGCAGGGTAGTTCAGTGGTTAAGACCACAGGCTTTGGAACCTGATAGGGGTATTTGACTCCTGTCCCTGTCCCTGTCTGGTGCTCTCTTGGGAGGCACATTTGAGGCCGACATCCCCTTCCCCCTTCTCTCCTGACCCAGTGGAGAAACCTGGCTCTGCAACGGGAGCAGGGGAAGCATCCCATCCAGGCTGGGTCAGGACTCCCACCCTCCAGGGGGGGCCAGGGCCAGGGCCCCTCCTTGGGAAGGAAGGCAGTAGTGGACCCTGCCCAGAGGAGCAGGTAGGCTGGGACTCCCCAGGTGGTCAGTGTGGCCTGGGCAGCTGGTGGCCTTCCCTCCCTCCTTCCTACCTTGCTGCCCCTCCTTCCCCTCCCCATGAGAGAATGGGATGTAGCAAGTAGACACGGACAAAGATTTATGCGAAAGATGTCCATTACGTCATCGTTTATGATTGTAAGAACTTCGAAACAGCCTAAATGCTCAACAGTGAGTGAGGATATTAGGGTTCGACCACGTAATGAACAATGGAGCAACCATTCAATAGGATGTTTAGAAGACTTTCAAAAAATTCCTTCCCATTCTTTTTTTCCTTTATTTTTCTTTTCAATATCTTTATTGGTCTTATTTCCAATCATAACAGTAATGTATGCTTGATTTGAAAAAACATTAAAAATAGTCGAAAGTATATTAATTAACTAGAAGGCTTCATCCCCTCGCGTCCCCCTCTTTGGAAGTATTTTTATGAGTATTTGGATAGAATTTTTAAAGGCAAGAAGAAAATTGTATGACAATGTTAAAGAAAGAAAGAACAGGAGGCTAAAAATGGTATCTAAAATATTTTTTACCAAACACGTGAAACAGTGCATAGAAAAAGGACTAAAAGGAAAACAAGTACTAAAATATTGCACGATGTGAATATACTTAACACTACTGAACTGTACACTTAAAAATGGTCAAAATGCGGGGGGGATGGTGGCTCGCACCTGTAATCCTAGCTCTCTGGGAGGCCGAGGTGGGCAGATT